AAAATATAAATATTTAAATCATGAGCAGAGTCCTACCAATGTTCAAAACATAAACCCTTCGCCTGGGTTGAGGGGTTGTGCTGGGTGGAGGAGGGGTGGATGAATCAGAGGGGTTAGGTTGTGGAGGAGTGTCTGGGTTAAGAAGGAGAGGTGGTAAAAATAAAGGTAAAAAAGAAAAGGAGAGGTGAGGGTGTGCGTAGTAATGTGAGGGGAAAAGGGAAAGAGGTGGCTGGTTCTTCACCCACTTCTGAATTGGTGGTATCAGCTATCTGTGGGGTTGAACATGCAACTGTGGGAGAAAGTAGCAAGAAGACAGGGGGAAGTGGCTCAGGGGAGGCTGCTGAAGGGTTGGTTAATCTTAGTTCACAGGCAGATGAACCTGGTTCATCTATTTAGGAGACCCTAGCAGACCTTCTGAAGAAAGTGGGTGCTAGCTATGATCTGAAGAAAATGAGAACTCCAACACCAAAAGCCCCCAACACTGCTAAACCTTCCAAGAAAAGAAAGGCCTCTTCTCCAACAACTGCTAAAATTCCCTTGCCAAAGGGGAGATCCACAAGAAGTATGTGAAATAGAGTGAGAGTGAATTACAAAAAGCTTTGGCTAAAAACAAGAAGAAGAGGATGGATAAAGGAAAAGCTAAGGTTCCAGAGCCTTCTGAGGCTGTTGATGTTGAGGAGATAGAACAGGTACATCAGGAAGAACATACAAATGTGGAGGTTCAGACCCCCAAGCCTAAAAAGACCAGGACTTCTTCCAAGAAGTCTTCATCAGGGTCTAAGGCTGCTGAACCTTCATTGGCCGAGAGAGCAAGGTTTGCAGTGAAAAATAAACCAGTTAGAGTTGCTGAAGATGAAGAATGGAGTGGTGAAGACGAGAGTGAGTTTGATGGTGAACAAGACAAGCTCGCCAAATTTGGCAAAAGAAAAATTTTGAAGGGTAGATTGCTGAAAGACTTGGTGGAACCAGGAATGGTTCGATTGGTTGATGCACTAGCTGCTCAGGGCTGGAAGGACATGGTCCTTCAGATGGATGGAAGGCTAGCCAGGAATGAAATCATTGAATTCATGGCCAATGCAGAGGTCAAGAATGGCAGAGTTACTAGCCAAGTGAAAGGGGTTCAAGTGACCTTCGATGCAGAGAAACAGGGTGAGATTCTTGACATTCCTGCTGAGGGATATGATGACTATACTAGGAAAAGATGGCCAAGTCTGGATTCCCTTCCTCCTGCCCTCGAAATTACTAGGAGATTCTGTGATGTTGAATAAGTGAATGAGCCCAAGTTTGTGCACAAGATTATGAAGCCACAACACAAAATCTTGTTTGAATTTGTCAACAAGTGCTTACATCCTAGGCAGGAAAGAAGGCACATTGCTAACTATTTGGACTTAGTTCTGATGGAATGTCTCGAAAGTGCAAGGCAAATCAACTGGCCTGCATTCATCATCAAGCTACTGGACAGAGTTATCAGTGGCTCCAACGCCATTGCTACTCCTTATGGGTTTATTCTGACTACTGTGCTTGGTCGTTGTAAGGTGCCACTAAAGAAGTGGGAAATGGAAACAAGCAAGGATCGCTTTGGAATTAACACTTTGATTGCTTGTGACTATGAAGTCACTGTCATTCCTAATGAACCTGGTCATCCAAGAAGACACCTATAAATAGGAAAGTCAGAGCTCTAGTACAGGAGAGTGGGGCAAAGGATGCTGAGATAGCTAGGCTGAAGGCTCACTTAGCAGAGGTTGAATCTGAGAGGGATGCTCTCAGAACTGAGCTTACCAAGGAAAAGGAGAAGAATGAGGGCATTCTTCAAAATATGTTGAACCTTCTCCAAGCCCAAAACCAACCCTCTAGCTCTTCCAAGCCTTAGGATTTCTAGCCTTTCTCACCTGAACCTGTCTAGTACCACCAGTGACCCAGATTAGGGATTTCTCTTTCTTTTGCTCATGTTTTGAATATTTTTGCTTTCTTTTTGTGGATTGTGGTAGCAACATATCTCCTATCAATGAAATCTACTATTTTTGCTCTTTTTGACTATTAATATTTCCTTGATAGTTTGAATGTGTTTGCTTGATTACTGATGATTAACCCATGATTGCACTTGCAGTTGCCCCAGTGGCCATGAGTAATTGTTAAAATTCTGGGAATTACACTTTGTTTATGCAACTTTTCGATGATGCCAAAAGGGGGAAGGGATAGTGTGCTTTATATATTATGAATAAGTGATGTTTATAACCTAATGAACCTGGTCCTTGATGATAAGTAAATTTTTCTAACTTTATATTGATGAATAAGCCGAGTTCTGACAGGGCCTAAGTGAGTTAAAAGCACAGAGTTTGTCGTCATCAAAAAGGGGGAATTTGTTGGCCCAAGTAAAGGTGAAGTTTTGAAGACTGACAAAGGAACTCAAACATGGACCAGGTCCATCTTGTGAAGAACAGTTATGATCAACTCAAACATGTGAGATGCACGTGAAGGAGATAAACCTAACTTATTAGAAGTGATATATCCTGATCATGATCGAAAAGGTTGCATATTGGATAAGGAGAAAGACTCCTTACACAAAGAGAAACACGGTTTAAGAAATGGATAGAGTTAGAGGATGAGACCAACTAGAACTCTTTCACCAAGGAAGAGTAGCATCTGTATTCTAGTCAATCTCTTTTTACTAACTCCATAAATATCACTGTTGTTCTCTTTTACAGGTAACGCACACAAGCAGAAGTTAAACGTAAATTGAGAGCAAAATAGCAAGGAAATTTTTGCAAGCAATTTGTGTGTGATTCAAGCTTGCAAACCTGAAGCTACTTGAACCAGATAGAAGAACCAGTTCCTAGTGTCTATCTTTTATTCTAGTTCAATTGTAGTAGGCGATTTTACATTGTACCTTTCAGCTTATCTAGAAGCAATTGTATTAGGTACTTAGAGTTTTTAAATTAGAGTTAACTTGAAGTTGTCGCAACAGTTGAGGCTGTGTGCCACAACAGGATTAGAGTTAATCCTAGGTTTACAAAAGAGTTTTTGGCTCAGTGATTTTAGTGGAGTGTTTGGAAAAATACTACTGCAAAAGTAGGTCGTGATTTTTTCACCTTCTGAGCCAGGTGTTTTCCACGTAAAATCTCTGTGTTCTTTAATTTCTGTATTTATTATTCTGCAACAGTAGTAGTTGGAACACATAGAAGAACCAGGTCCTTCTATAATCAGGTTAAACGAAAAATTGGGTACCACACAAATCACCCCCTCCTCCCCCCCCCCCCCCTCTTGTGTGGTATTGAGGTATAAAACATCATCGGACACCCTCGATTTAGTTATGCAAGAATAGTTAAAGGTACAATAAGCTGAAGAACAAGAAAGTAAGCTGAGAAATATTATATTGCTTTGATATTCGTGAAAAAGGTGTCTACAAATGATGGGGACTCCTCTTTATATAGTAGAGGAGTCCTATTTATGGTATAACTCTAATTATAGAAATAAATCTCATGATTAGCCTAAACTATCGCCCTTGATTTGATCTGTTCCAGGATTTCCGCCGTGATCTTCGACCGGTTACGGATATCTCACCTTTCCGTTATTGCACTTTGCTCGAAGTCGGTCATATTTGGTCTCGATCGTCGTTGGCCTCGATCTCGACGGGCACTTTGATACTCGAACTCGACACCTCGTCTTTGTGCTCTGGCCTGATCGATTACGAGGCTGGCCCTCGACGTGATCCCCTGGTCTCGATTAAATAGTAAAATCGGGCAAGTCCGATTTTGATCGTATACAAGCTAAATTATTTATTATCAGTGGCGGAAGCTCAAATTTTTGCTAAGAAGATCTAAAATATAAAGAATTATATATACGAAAAAGATAAGGAGATTTACATAAAAAAAGATTAACCCCGATCCGCCCATGTTTGCTTTGGTTCCTGACACAATAATTTTTCAATATTTAAATTTTTCCAAAAACTTTTCAAAACCTAAGTAGTGCTTAAAGGTCAATATTGCTTCCCTTGACCTGATCTTTTAATAACCACAAGATAAGGGTACAATTGATCAGGGGTCCATAACGTATTAGATGTTTAGTATTCAATTATTACTATTCTAGAATACGTAGTGTTTCTGTCATAATTAATAATAAGCAATTTTGGAGTTTTCTCAATAAAAAAAGTATTTACGTTGTATTTAGTTTGACTTAGTGCTATGGAAATTTAAAAAGTTTTTTCGACTACGCACTCCAGTGGGAATGTTGTTAAGAAACTGCATATGAAGAAAACTACTAACCACTTGTTTCTACTTATTTTTGGGACTAGCCACAAATTTTAAAGCATACTAAATGGAAAATTAAGATGGTATTGGTCAATAAAAGCTGTTTAAGTTATAAAATAATTTTTCAATCAGATTAACCATTTAATATTCTGGACTATTTGACTAATTTATCCTGAATTAATTTTTTAACGTTTGTCTATTAGGTTCCTCTTAATTTTAGAACAATTATTGTAAGGGCCAAGTTGAAAAATATTATTAATTAATTCTCTTCTGATTTTATGAGATAATTAATATTTCCGAACAACTATTTTTAATATACATGATAACTAAATGGGAACGAGAAAAGTATTAATAAGTTCTCATTCTAAGTATTCCAACTCTAAGTTTACTAAATGGGAACGAGAAAAGTATTAATAAGTTCTCATTCTAAGTATTCCAACTCTCATTATTACTACAATGTCCCGTGGTGATTCTAGAATATAAGTAAACCAAAACTAATAAATACCCCCTCCGTCTAAGTTTACTTGTCAACTATACTAAAATAGATGTTCACTCTTACTTGTTCAGATCGGAAAATCGATGAATACTTTACCAGGTTTATACTTATTTTACCCTTATCGTTACTTAATATTTTGAATTTATAATAATCAAAGTTAATTTTTCAATAATAATAATTGAAGAGTAATATAATAAAATAACCATATTATTTATTGTGTTTTGAGGGTGTGGAGAACAACAGGAAAGCTAGGTCGATGTCTTCACTTTATGTCACAATCAAAAAAAACAGTCGGAGTATTTACTCTTTTAGAGGAAACGAACGCATATAAATTAGGCCACGTAAAGTCTGTACACAACGCAAATTCTCTCGAAAATTCTTTCCAGACGCCAACTGCCAGAGGTACTCTCCTGTTATAATTAGTTAAAATTGAATGGGAGGACAATCAAGAAAATGGATGATTTTAGTGGCGACCATATGGATTCAAGCATTCACTGGAACCAACTTCGATTTCTCAGCTTACTCGTCGGAGCTGAAGGCTGTTTTAGGAATTTCACAGGTGCAGTTGAACTACCTGGCGACGGCGTCGGATCTTGGAAAAGCTCTGGGATGGTCCTCTGGATTGGCTTTGATGTATTTTCCGTTGTGGTTCGTCATGTTCGTCGCTGCTTTCATGGGATTCTTTGGTTACGGGATTCAGTGGCTCATCATTCTTGACCTCATTTCCTTGCCTTATTTTGTGGTTAGTATTATTTCTCTCTTTTTTCTTTCTTTTTAATTTACCCTATTAGAATTAGTTCTTGAGTTTTAAATTGAAAAGATAAGTATAGTTAACTAACTCTCATTCCATAAAGAATGAGATTAATAAGTTGCAAAATAAGGCAGACAGAATAATTATTTACTCCATATAAGTTAAATCTTTAATTCTTGTGTTCTAAATCTTTTTTCTTTTCATTTTATTTGAGGGAGGCATGGCATAGTGAAAAGGGTAGTAAAGTGCGAGTGAAAATGAATCTTGCATCTAAATTTCATCTTCTGCTTTTCTTTCTTTTATATTGGTATAGTTTTGTGTTTGTATTGGTAATGCTATCTTTTTAATTGTCTAATCAGACTTTTAATTCTTAAATTCGTAATTCAATCTATACTTATGTTAATATTTTTCAAATATATCGATTTCGTTGGCTTTTTTATTTAAAAAGTTCATGTAGTGTCAGAATTCAGGAATTTGATATAATTGTAATCCGAAAAGGTCCAAAAAACAGTGCATAACCAAAAAATTTGAAATCTCTTTGTTGTCTTTTTCTGATTTAAAATAGTTTATGCAGTGTCAGAATTAAGGAATTTGATATTATTGTAATTCGAAAAGGTCCAAAAAACAGTGAATAACACAATTTTTTAAAAGCAGTCCAAAAAACAGTGAATAACCCGTGCTATCATTTTTTAATTTGTTGCCTCTTTTTTCATTTGTGCTTTAGTTACCTGCAAGGGTCGTAAATATACGTTTAATTTGTCTCTTTAATTTGTCGTCTAATCAAGCTATCTTAATCACATAATTATTTCCAAAAACAGTATCATTCATTTTATGTTTGATATACTTCCTTCATCCCAATTTATGTGGCATTTTGTGTTTATTAAGAATCAGTTTGACTAATTTTTAAAGTTAATTTGCTTAGGTTAATTCAATATTTTAAAATTAAACTTTAGATATTCAAAATATATACAAAAAAATACTACTTATAAGTTGCAATTTTTCTCATGTCAATATAAAGAAAAATACATCTTGAAATATTGATAAAAAATCACTTAGTTTAAATTTCGAAAATTGAGAATACTCACATAAAGTGGAACAGATGAAGTAGTTGTTTTGTTCGGGAGTTGAAATTTATTTTCATCCAACAATAAAAATTGAAGTTACTCATAAGTTCGAAAACGTCAAGTTTTCCCAATAACCCATCATATTTTTGGTCCAAGATCATAAATCTTCTTCCTTTCTTGTTATCCTATTATGAATTTACTCAAAAGGCTAGAAAATTCTAAGATTTCCCACATATAACATACGTATTGCTTGCATCATCAATTTATTTAATGCATGTACTTTCTGTTATTTGTGGCTAAAAAGAATGAATTTTGCCATGCGCCATGAACCACAAAATTCAAAATATTCTTTGATTAGTTTCCAAGAAAAGTACATTTATTCTTATCCAAGTAACTCCATGCATTTGATTACCCTCTTTCCTCGTACCTTTGGGAAGGTTCCTGAAGCAACGACCTTCCCAAATATATACCATCCTCCTTTAATTTCTTGTACCCTACCTTGAATTTTCTCATGGAGGGCATCTATATAATCTTATTTGTGATATTTTTAACTTCATATGTTAATAGTTTAAGAAAATAATTTAAAATCCAGCGGTTTTCTTGGGTATTTAATTATTATAATCTTTCACTTCCTTCTTGCTGAGCTTGTATGTAAATTCCTTTTTTTGTTCCAAAGTCTATGTGTGGAGTATGTATTGAAATATTACTTGTTCAGCATAAAATATACTTCCTACATTCCAATTTATGTGAGCTTATTAACTGGGCACAAAATTTTAGAGAAAAATAAATGTAGATTTAATGTCCTAAATCATTTATATTTCTATAATTCTTTTGGAACTTGTAGTGTTAAACATGCTAGATTATTTGTGTGGCTATAAAAGTTTCTCTAAAGTTAAACTGTTTCAAATTTAAAAGAAGTCAATTCTTTTTTTGAATGGTAAAAAAAGAACATAGTTTCGGGATGGAGTATGATTTAGTTGAAAACATTAGGAAAAATTTAACACAGCATAAAATTACAGATTTTGAAGACCGCATGCGGCGTAAATTCGCTAAACATCTGGTATGCAGTACACCAACGTTAAAACATGGGGAAAAGATATTGTATAGCCGCTGTCAAAATAATAGCGGAACACGGGCTAAAAATATAATATCCTTGGAACATCCGTTCCGAAATGGTCCACATTATTCTACAAATAAAAAAAGTTAGAGAAGAAAGCTGAATACTCCAAGTTCTTCTTTTTCCATTGTTTTTTCGGTTCTCTCTCTTTTTAGAGCATGCTTTTTTTCGAGAATAGTTCTTATCAACATTTGGAGATGTAAAATATGAAGGGAAAATAAAAAAGAATATTTGGTTTTAGTCAAGTAAAGGATATTCTTAGAGGGAAAGTTTTTCGTTGTAGCTTAACACAAAAGGGGCATCAAAGAGACACTTGTCCTCCTCTCATTTTGGTCGTTCCTGTGAAAGCTCTCTTTGAACTGCATTCTGGGGTATGGTCTCTTACAATATACCTTCCCTATTCCTTTTGTCCGTGAACTTACCTTTCATCGTCCATTTCAATCCTTAGTTACAAATCTCCTAACAACTAAAATCATTTTCTTCTAGAGAAAAAATACAATAACAACAAAACTATACCTCAATCCCTATTAAATTGAGGTTAGCTATATGAATCATAGTTTCGGCATATAAATCTGGACTAAAAAGCTAGCGCTCCCATAATGCAATGGGCCCAAATGTTCTTTTCATGAACTCATTTTCCTCCAATTAGAGACAAATGTTTTCCCTATCAAGAGAAGCGACAATATTTTTCAAAACTCTTTTTTAACCTTTCGCATTCTATTTTCCATCTCCACCAACGTTTGCGTGCACTCTNTTTTCAAGAAAATATTTTCCAAGAAACATATTCCACGGAAAATATTTTCCTCCGTACCAAACACACCCTAAGACTTAATCTCAACCAATTAGTATCACCTACATTTTATTTTCTTCCATCTTGGGAGAAATCAATCAAATTATTTCTAAGATAACGGAAGAATATAAAAGTATATTCTTATTGGTTTCATGTTGCACTTCTTTAGTGCTTGTAAATATGTCAGCTCCTTTTGACTAATTGACTAATTGTTGCAGGTATTTTTCCTTTGCTTGTTAGCTGGATGCAGCATCACTTGGTTCAACACAGTTTGCTTTGTTCTCTGCATAAAAAACTTCCCTTCTAACAGACCATTAGCACTTGCACTCACTGTGAGTTTCAATGGAGTTAGTGCAGCCTTATACAACCTCGCTGCGATGGCTATAAATCCTTCTTCTACTCATATTTACCTACTTCTCAATGCCTTCATTCCCTTAATCACTTCAATTGCAGCCATTGTCCCCATCCTCCGACAACCCCCTATCGATTCCCTGCCATCTGATGCCATCAAACACGAACAGCTCATATTCGTTGTACTAAATTTCCTAGCTGCAATCACTGGCCTCTATCTTCTCTTTGTCCATTCGACAGATTCATCAACGACTCGTGTAATTTTTGCTGGTGCAATTTTACTTCTTGTCATTCCATTGGGAATTCCAGGCATCATCTATGCAAGGAAATGGTTTAAAAAGAAAATTTCTTCAAGCTTTTCCCTTCAAGGATCCGGCTTACTACTCGTTGATGCTGATGATCTTGAATTTCATAAAGAGCTACTTAGTCGCGAGAATAGCCAGATCAATGTAATGTCCTACGGCGTAAATGGTGATGGACCGACTCTTACACTAAGCCTTGCGAGGATTATAGGCACCGGTGGAGCTAGTGATCAAGGATGTTGTGAAACAATAATTGGGAAGGATCAGTTATACATGCTTGGAGAAGAACACAAGGCAGGGTTGCTGGTTAAAAGATTGGATTTTTGGCTATACTATCTTGCATACTTTTGTGGAGGAACAATTGGGCTTGTTTACAGTAACAATCTTGGCCAAATAGCACAGTCACTTGGACATAGTTCAATGACTTCTACTCTTATCACACTGTACTCATCCTTCTCCTTCTTTGGCCGCTTGCTCTCTGCAGCTCCAGATTTCATCAGATCGTAAGTTAAAGCTCACTTTTCCTCTGTTCCCTTATTTTCTATTGGTCGTATGAAGGGGTGGATGTGGAAGAAGGGAATGGGTCATAACACTCCGCATACTGACTTTGGTTTTATGAGGCGTAGAGGCGTATTTAGGGCAGGTTTTACTGTTCCACTGAACCCATTACTTTCTATAAATTAAAAATGTATACATATAATGCCATTACACTCATTCTAAACTCACTGACTTTAGATGATTTGAATTGAGATGGGAATTAAATGAATTTTGCAGGAAACTGTATTTTGCAAGGACAGGTTGGCTAGCCGTTGCATTAGTTCCGACACCAATAGCATTCTTTTTGCTAGCAGCAACAGGAAATGAGGCAGCAATCCAAGCAGGAACAGCTCTAATTGGATTGAGTTCAGGATTCATATTTGCTGCAGCAGTGTCAATTACATCAGAACTATTTGGACCAAATAGTGTTGGAGTGAACCACAACATTCTCATCACAAACATCCCTATTGGATCACTTGTCTATGGCTTTCTTGCTGCTCTCATTTATGACAATAATGCTGTTGGTGCTACTTTTGCACAACACACGATGACTGATACAGTGGTTTGTATGGGGAGGAAATGCTACTTGTCAACTTTTCTCTGGTGGGGTTGTCTTGCTCTTTTAGGACTTGTCTCGAGTGTGTTGTTGTTCTTAAGAACTCGGCCTGCTTATGATCGATTCGAGCAAAATAGAACAGCAAATTTGTTGGATTGATGTGGTAGCCAACAATAATTTTCGAAGAGTTTTAAGTGGGCCTATCAACAGTTGGGCTAGAAGATTTTCTTTTGGGTTCTCTTGACCTCCATTAGAACATGTGTACAAATTATTTTGAAGGGCTAGTTGCATCATTGGAACATCATGGACTCTACTCTTTTACGGGAATCTTACGGGAATGTACCAAAAAATTTATATACCAACATCTAGCCATTTTATTCATGCTATCAAAAATAGCCAAAAAATTTACCAATGATATACAACATTTAAAAAACATAGGCAAAGAAGATTGTTTTCTTCAATGGGTATTGTTTTAATTCATTGAAAATACATAGAAAGGACTAGCAAACAGGCAGGTCGGGTCGGGTATGAATGGGTTGAAAAACGGGTAATGCAAAACGAATAAATTATCCGACTCGACCCATATTTAATACGAATAATAAATGGGTTAACCGGCAGATAATATGGATATCCATATTATTTATGGCTTCTTGAATAAGATCATTTTTGGAAGAATTCCTAGTCTCTCAAACTTAAGGAACCCCCAATTTGAGCCTTTACAAATGTAAAAGAATTCATTGGTTATCCATTTGCTAAGTGGATAATATGATTCTTGTCCATATCTGACCCGTTTTTAAAAAAATTTATTATCCGACCCATTTTTTAATGGATAATATGGGTGGATAACTTTTTCTTTTATCCATTTTGCCGTCACTATACATAGATGTGGCTACATACAAAACTTGACAAAGTTTGAAGGCAAGTTAGGCTAGTTTGGATGATAAATTCATTATTAATGATATAAAATGTTTTTAAAAAAATTAGGTAAAAAAGTTGTTTTTTCTTAAATGGGTATGGTTGGAATTCGTTGAAAACTTATAGATGAGGCAATATACAAATTTGAGCAAGATTTGAGGTGATTTGGACTAGTTTGGTATCAGAATTCATAGATAAAATCGAGTTTAAAAAAATTCTTCTGTGACACTTGTATCAAACATGTGTCACGCATGTATCTCATACACAGATAAGCCCGTGCATGGATCGGATCGGATCAGATTTAGCACATTTCGGGTTCGAATTTCGGATTCTACAAAATGCAATCCGAATTAATATCGGATCGGATGGGATCTTAAAGTTTGGATCGGATCGGATTTTTGGATTTCGGATCGGGTTATTATGCCTCAAAGTTGCAAACTCATATGTATATTTTCTTTAGAGGCAATACAGTAAGAAATATTCATGTGTCTGCAATTATGAGAGTACTATGGAACATATAGCTAAATCCAGCAATTGTAAAGGTAATAACTTGGAGAAAGATGTAAAGAGGTACTGACTATCCAAAATTAAAGTTTAATATTTATACATGCCCTAATAATTTCGGATTTCGGATCGGATCGGGTTACAATTATACCAATCCGAATTCGATTTGAATATCCGAAATTTTAATAAACACAATCCGAAATACGATCCAAATATCCGATATCCGAAATTGAGCGAATCGGTTCGGATTTCGGATATCCAATCCAAATGAACAGCCCTACAACAAGTATACATGGATATACATGCAATACACATTTGATACACATATGATACATACGTGATACACAAATGATACCAAATGTTATACACACATCATCTTTTTTTATGTTCATCTTCTACTATGAATTTTCAATTCAAACCACCACAAAACTCTATCAAATCATCCCGAAATTGAGATTCAAACTCCTTAAGATGTCCAAATCTAATCCAATAATATCCACTCAAAATAAAGCAAAAATTTGACCTTTTTTGTTGCTACAATAGCTAATTGGCTTATATTAATAGTATTTGGCTAATATTAATGATATTTTATGAATTGATAACTTTTGTACGAATAGGTGAATATAACTGGTAATTTCCTATCTTTTAATGCCACGTGCCGTTCAGATCAACGGGCCCATCAAAGGAGAATGATACAAACATGAAGCTTTTGTGTTAGTATCAAATAGCATGGATTGGCCAATTTTAGACTGCTAATTGAAAATAATTAATGTTGCAAAGTAAATGGATTACTATTTAATGCGGAGGTAAAATCTGAACAAAAATACCCTTAGTTGAAACACGAAAAAACTCCTACGTAAAAACTCCAGCATATTATATTGGAGTTCCAGCACATTATGGTGGAATTTCATACGTAAAAATTTTGAACTCTAGCATATTTCGAATTTTAACTAAAGGTAATTTTGTCCAAATTTTATTTTCGTATGAAAAACGGCTAAATTTTGATCAATTTTAAAATTATGGCTAATTTTCAATTAGCATTTGCAAATCATGTTAATCCCGGTAACAATGTTTTGAGAATGTAGCGATCTACACCTTTCTCTGCTTCACCAACTTTTGACCAACCTATTAGCGATCTATACCTTCGCTTATACAGAGCTTCGTGCGGTGCCATCTTGATACTAGAATGGAAGATGTTATTATAAGAAAACTCAATGAGAGGTATTTGATCATCCCAATTACCTTTAACATCGAGGACATACCCTCAAGTGTCTGAATAATGCGTTGCCTGGCCATCCTTCTGAGGATAAAAACTTGTGCCTAATCCTTTCTAAAAGAACTTCTAAAAGTTCGTTTTAAACTGAGCACCACAGTACAAAATGACGGACAACGGAGTCCCATGCAATCAGATGATTTCCTGTATGTACAACTTGGCATAATCTTCTGCTGAATATGCGGTATTTACTGCAAGAAGTGCGCTAACTTGGTAATTGATTTACAATTACCCAATCAAATCAAGATTTCAAAATGAGCAAGATAATCCTGTTTTAAATTTCATATTTCCATCTCTACTCAAAAATATGCGTATTCTGTGGTAAAACACTGGGTTTTATGCTGCTCAACTTTCACTGGCTGACAATTCGATCGCTTGGCCACAAAGTCTGCGACGTTCTTTTTCATGTCGTTCAACTAATAAATCTTCTTGAGTATGATAAATATTTGGGGAACCTGGAAGGATAGAATATCTAGAATTATGGGCTTCTAACATTATCTTCTCTCTTTAAGTCCATCTATGTCTGGAACACACAATCCGTCTTGGTACCTCAAAGTACCATCATCTCCCCTTGTTGAAAAGCCATCGTCTTATGCTGGTGCATCCCCTCTTTCAGCTGCAACAAATAGGGATCATCAAACCGTTTCTCCTTCACTTCGTCTACCAAGGAGGAACAAGTCCTATTCTGGACAACAACTCCACCATCTTCGGAGTTGGAAAGTTGAACTCCTAGCTTGGCTAAGTGGTGAACTTCTTTCACCATAGTTCTTTTGTCTGCCTCAACCATGAGCTGTACTTCCCATAATTGTTTATGTTATTAAGGTACTTCCTGAAACACTTATAATACTGTTGTGGGCTAAGTCTTTGACCAAAACTCCGAAAATTAGAGTCTCGTGCAATGGCGCTACCTTCGTGATACATAATTGTGCATAATTTTGTAGTTTTTATAACCCATGCTATCTATGCAGGTTTTAAATCTCTAACTGGACTTACTGACGATTTTCGTATCTCCCCCTTAGACCAAAGGTTAAGGTCTTGTACTTGCAGATCCTTCTCTTTTGTTGGGATCCGAACAACTTCCCTTATCTTCTGTAATTCTTTGCACTGTATGTCAATGACGACTCATCTTCCGACTTTCTTCTAAGCAATCTTACTAACTAGGAAAAACTAAATTACTTATATAAATGGAAGGCTAATGTATTCGCAACTATCAAACATAATCTTAATGATTTAACTCAGCTCACCCTGTCAATCTTGGGAAAAACCCCTTTTCCGATAACTCTTAAAGGTTATTCTTCTGTATTTTGTTCTCTTACTGCCTAGCTGATTCTTTTCCTATCACTGTACTTTGGGATTAACTTAAACTCTTTGCGTTGTAACACGCGTTTAGTATTTCAAATTGTCATTCACTCATTAGAGTTAACCTGGCTAAGCAAATCAAATAGTACATTTACTTGCTCTGCTCAAAATGATAATCTACTCAAAACTAACTTGCTATTCTTTTACTAACCACCTGCTAGCATCATGTTTTCTTGTTCCGCTTTGAATAACTAAATTGAAGAATAAGGTTATTTCTAGCTTCCCTCACCATCCGACCCTATTCTATGGTCGTATACTATTTTTTTAACTATGTACATGGATCACACTTAAGGAAAGTTCATCTGCCTTAAACGAAATTAGAATATCAAACCCCCAAACTTTCAATACACTTCAAATTCATTTGAGACTATAAACATCTAGGGTAAACACTTTGTCACATAACCTACGGGGAAACTGTCATATCTTTTATCTCACAATAATAGCGACTTCTTATAGTAATTGACTAACGTGGTACTTTCTAATTCTGATTTGAATAAATTTAAACAACTTAAAATCATTCCCCGAAATTCAATATCGGCTTCTCTTGGTTCTCATTTCGTACATCATATCTTCTTAGTCATATGCATGAGTCATACAAAAAAACAGATCGTTGGTAATGACCAATGTTTCTGGCTCCTAGGTATTTTTCCCTTAGGCCCTTTTCTTTCCAAAACTATATGCCCGCTGTGGTTAAATTCTTAACATATTACACTATGGGGTCTGATATCTGAACTATCATCATCCAACCTGTGGCTCCATTTTCAAGAATTAAAAATAAAATTGTTCTATGAGGTTAAACACATACAAATACACTACCACAAACTTGTCCTTCGGAGTATATCATCATATGATAAATTACTTCCTACACCATCCAGCGGGTGTTAGGTCTTAATCCGAACCTAAAACATGCGAAGATTTTGCTATTATCACCGTTACTTACATTTCTTTGAGCACCCATATGCATCACCGTATACTTACAAGTCACCATAAAATTTGATACAATGAAAATTAGATATCTGGTAAACATATAACTGAATACTTGCATACGGAATAACCATAAACTTGCTAGGTGAAAGACCGTATAACTGGTAACTAAGAACTGATAACCATAAAATATGATAATTGCTTTTGTACTTTCTGATAAGGTTATGCTCTAACATGTAGTACTATCCATTGCATCCCACTCTCAACATCCTCTTAATTCTCGTTTGTTACCAACATGTACTTCATAAATATACCCCAATGGGCAATCATCTTCTCTAGGACCTTGGATTTTTCCTGCCCGTCGCTTGGTCATTCAATACGTCTGGA